CACACACACACACACACACCCTCTCTGAGCTTCCATTATGAAAAACTCTTACAGTCATTGAGTGAATAAATAATCCCTAGAGGAAGCCACTTGTTCAGAAATATGGACAAAGTTATGTAGTGACAATATTTTGCTGTTTTTATTAATTTTTTGCCATCACGAAATGCTTTTTGACCACCTAAAAGAAGAACAAAAACAAGCAAAYTCTTTATTTAATTAAGGAAAGAGAATAATACTCATAAGTTGAAATTTTCGGGGTATTTGCAATGTGAGGCTACAGCTGTGGTATGATAAGAAGAGAGTGAAATCTCATCTTTTTGTCCGGTACATTTTTTGCTCCTGTGTTCTGTGATGCYTGAAAGATAAGAAGCCTCCGTCATGCAGTGGGGATCAAGCAAACTTCCAAATAATCCTTCACTGAATGAGCCTTTTTCCTTCAGCTAAAAGCCTCCTACAAAGAAACGGATAATACCAGAGACAACGTTGGTCTTTTATTCTATGGAGAAAGGTCCATGGGCTCTTTGAAGGGTTGGATTTTSGTTTTGATGTGTTTGGTTTGAACTGAGGCCAGTGCAGCTGTAAAAATGTATTTTTATTATTTAAACTGTTTATTATTATTATTATTATTATTATTATTATTATTATTATTATTATTATTATTTCCTATAACTGAAATATAAAAACAATTGAACTTACTGTTTATATAATACTGCAGACCTAAATGTGTTTTTGTCTTTCAGCTTCACATATTAAATGTGTTTTGAAACTTTGGGAACTTCTGCTAAAAATAAATCAGTAAACTAAATTTAAGTTTGTATTTTAAGGGTATTAGTTATATTTTTTTGGGAATTAGCGGTAATGTTTCATTGACAATGACAATTGATGCGCAAYCAAGAAAATCAGGATCCTTTAAGGCTAAACAGTGAAATGCTGTTGACTGTCAAAGTTAAATCTCAACATGTGTTCCATTAATAAAGAGCAGATTAGTCACTGCAAGATTGGACTGGATTACCAACCAATGAAACTGTAAGCTGGTAGTTCGGAGCCCCAAATTCACTTTGTGTTACTTGTTATATGGCAATTCAGCTGCTCGGGGTTAGAGTTCAAGTTAGAAACAATATCACTCCAGTTTTTTTTTGCCATCTTGGTGTGGATTGACTCTCTCTTTGCTTTTAATTGATGATATTATCACTTCAACAAGTACGTGTACCATGTGAGACAAAGATGACACGGATACAGGACACACAAGCACATAAATCTTCTGTGTGTGTGCACACAGTGGTCAGTGCACTGTGCGAGTTGGGGATCATCTCTTAATGGCTTTAGATCCAGCCAGTTCTTATAGGAGTCACAAAAGATTGATCTTATTAAGGTAAATGTGTGTTCACATTAGACAAATAATCCATGCTTAAAACAGATCAGGGACGGGCAACTTAAATGATGAAAGGGGACACGGTTTTTTGTTTTTAACTCATCCAATACACTTCATTTAATGGATATTATATCTAATGCCTAGTTTATATTCTTTACGTCATTGTTTTGTCGAAGATTAGATCTTTTCTTATTATCTTGTCTTTGTTTAAAAACCTTTAGGAGACACTGAACGACTGGAGACAGTCTGGTTGTCTGGTATCTGCCAGAACGAGAAGAACGAAGTGATGAGCAGCAAGTTGGACATCGACAACATGGCAGGCGTCTTCTACATGCTTCTGGTGGCRATGGGCCTCAGCCTGCTGGTGTTTGCCTGGGAACACCTGCTCTACTGGAAACTACGACACTCACTCCACAAATCTCACAAACTTGACTTCCTGTTGGCCATCAGCAGGGTGAGGTTTTTGAAAATGTCTTGATTCACTGTAAAAAAAAAGTGAAAAAGTTGTGTTGAGTCAGAAACTCCTTTGTGGTGTCAATTAATTAGTTATGAAACTAATTGTTGTGCTGCAATTTAGTTTGCTGCAGATAAATTGAAATATTGGTTCATCCATAATTTTGACTTGTTGGCTGTTTTCCATTTAATAGGCTGTTTTACAACAAATTAGGTTTACATATATATAATTCATAGATTAATGAGTGGTTTCATTGAAACACCTTGTTTTGACAGCAGCTAAAATATAGTGTTGTACTTAAGGAAAAATAAAAGATGAAAGGGGAAACAAACTACAACTAGAAGCAGCTCTAATTCCGGAGTCTACTTATTATTTTTATTTGATGGCAAATTTGCAATTAGTCTAAATCATTAATGAGTTTGATTCAAACGTTTTGAAGAGAAAAATACACAAGCAAAAAAGTCTGGCTGAATTTCAGCAAGAGAAATGTCRATGGATTCAGGCCTCCTCAACTGTAATTATACTATTGTGCCTGGATTTTATCAGATTAATGYCTAAATAATCCTTAATGGGTGGCCCTTAGGAGCAAATTAAATTTGGTTCTTTCAGGATCTCAGACAGCTGTAAGCATAGGGAAGTCATAGATATCTGTTCTTTTGTTTACCCATGCCGTTGAAAGTTGAGTTTTTCTTTGTTTTCTGAAAGGGATTTTAGTTTATGTGCATTGGCTGAGCTAATCCTCTCAGCTTGTACAGGTGTGAGTTAGATGGTGTAAAAAGGCTTAACAAATTAGCATGTAAAACCTTCCACCGTAATAAAATGATATATTTGCAAAATCAAGTTATTTTATTTCCTGTAAATGTTTATATTATTTGTTAAAAGAGTAGTTGATTTGGAGATACATTTGATATCATATGTGTAAAACCTTCCACTTTGGGCTTTTTGGTGCAGTTGATTATAAATGTTTGGTTTACTTTGTCCTATTTGATTAACATGTTCCTATTTTTCACCCATCAGGGTATTTACAGTTGTTTCAAAGGAGTAGAAGATCCTGGACGTTCTTCTGGTCTGGCCAAACCTGACCTGACTTCCAATTATGCTCAAGCCAARATGCTTAAGATGCTTCGTACTGCCAAAGACCTGGTCTCCACTGCCAARGTTGAGAGCTCCTTGGACAATGCCACCAAAACCATCGAACATTTAAGTCGTCACGGTGGGACCTTACCCATTCGGGTTCCACAAGTTTCCACGGAGGCCGTGCCAGGAGGCTTTGCTTACGTTACTGAAAACCATTGCTCCCTTCCTCAGCGTTCCATTACCCCACCGCTAACYGGTGTTACCCCTCTGAAACAGCAGAGGGGTATAACCAGGCCAACACCACTGCGATACACGCTGCCAACTCGCTCTTCGTCGTGTCTGTATGACAGACCACTTCCTGTGTCCAGCCTGAGCACCCCCCACCTGGCTGTAGGAGAACCGCTTCCTCATCAGCACCCACACCACTACCACACCACTGGGAGACTCTATGTAGACTCCCACTCTCACTCCCCTTTCATCCCTTACTCTGATCTCCAGCTGCCAGACATCTACTCATCACATCCGGTTTCCTTGTCCCAGAACCACCATGTCCATTTGGGCTTCTCCCAACCAAAAAGGAGGTCTAAGAGTTTCCAAAGTGACAACGTGGATGTCGATAGGAGAAAACACGGGGAGCAGGGAAAGAATGACAAAAGTCATATTGGTCTGAGCGAGCTCAAGGCCAACCATCTTCACGATAACCACGTCTCCACCCCAAGTGTTGACAATATTTATTTAGGAGAGGGAATGTGTCCTCAGGTAGAGAACTATGGCTCCTGGCCTCCAGAGGACCTTGTGCTCAGAGGGCGACGCAGGCACCGCCGACCCTCTTTTCTCAAAGCAACTTGGGGTAGTGAGCAGATTCGTCAGCTTGATGAATCCCAATCTTCTTTGTCCAGCCAATCACCTTCAACCTTGCCTGACCTGTTTCCATGCGTCGTTACGCCAACCACATCTGCCAAGCCTTACAATCCTGCCCATCTTCGAAACAACCTGTGCCTCCCGAGGAACCAGGCCTACCTCCACATCAGGGAGGACCAGAGGAGGCCTAATGGGCGTAAAGGTCAGAGACTGCGCTACTCCCACTCCACCCACCTCCCAACATATGGAGAGGCAGTACGACATGGGACTGGGCTAGGGCGAGGTATGGTGCGGAGGGCCACCAGCCTCCTCAGCCYTCAGTACACACAATACCTGAACTCATACCCTGGACTCCCACTTTACCATGGTCCACTGGAGCTCCAGCATCACAGCCAGGCTTCCAGCCCAGTTTGCCAGCTGTTGGCCTGTGGTGGTGGGCGATGCGGAGGCCAGCGGGCCCTGCTGTACCAGGACAGTTTATATGGAGCTTATGGGGCCTATCAAGGAACCCAGACTGGATCAGAGGCTCCTGTAGGGCAGGGAGTAGGAGGCCATCCTGTGGCGAGTCCTTGTGTACTTCGACCATGGCGACGGGTTTCCAGTTTGGAATCTGAAGTCTGACCGGAAACCATATAACCTTATCAGACAGAAACTACGAGAAAACCGAGAGAAGACTTTCAAACAATACCACTGTGGAAACTGTTCTTCGGTTTGTGTTTTTGTAAGATTTAAAGTAACCGTTGATTTTCATTGTGACTCTGTGTGGTAAAGAATAGAAATTTGGCTCAGACACTACAATAAGACTGCACTGTCACCAATACATCCTTGAGAAAGCCGAAGAAAGCTGGAGTTACTGGTTTAACTCTGTTGCTGCTTTCCAATAAACAATGTTTGTACTTTTATGTGCACCAAGTTTTACACACACCCAGGTTATTGGTGAATAGTTGAACTATAACTAGAGTTTCCATGCTGTGTGTGTGTGTTGTATTTTTGTATTGTGGCTGGCTGGAATTCAGTCTTGGGTATTGTCTTGTGGATGAATTGTTGACAGCTGGAAAGAAATGTTAGATAAGAGATATTTTCTTTAAATTCAACCACTAACAAGTAGCCACTGTAGCAGGATATCTGAAGGCAGCTGTGACGATGACATGAAGAACAAAAATGCGTACAGTTCCGTACTGAAGGGCATCACTTTCCTAAAGCAAAAAATTCAGTTTGAGACATCTGTTCATGAATTTCTGAAAAATGTCTTGAATCTTAATCCCATACATCTTCACACTGATGAGCCAGAGYAAGCAACAACTTTGTGAAAGCAGTCCATATGAACACAATCTGCAAAAATAATAGCAGGATTAGAACATCATTGACCAGCACTAGGTGTCTAAAAAGGGACAGTTTGGAATTTTTTTTATCATGGGAATTTGTGTAGTTGTCAGCAGTCAGAATAATCTCAGTTTGGAGAATCAGTGAGATGTTTTCATGGAGGTTCCAAGCTAACAGCTAGTAAAAATACGGTCTAGTAAACAAGATTTAATTATTTATAATTCTGGTTTTTGTTGCAAACAACTTAGTGAGGCTACAACTGAAATTGTACATTTTCTCGCATTTCCGAGTCATCGACTAATCTCCAATAGTCACAGACCAATCAGACCCCCTTTACCTGTTTCCAGTTGGGTTTCTCCCGCATTTTCTTTATTAATATTGTGCTGACAGCTGTCTACTGCAGGTAAGATACCGATGAATAACTCTACAAAGCCCTACACCAAAAAAAAATCCAAACTATTTCTTTAAAACTGCTGACTTTTCAACCTCATCATCTCTCATGGTGAGGCTACCAACTCACAGGCCTCACGTTAAGTAAATTATGTATTCTAAGTACTATAACAATGTAGACGAATGTGTTATTTAAGACCGGTTAATAATATATTTACGTATTCTACATATATTAGGACTTTATAATCACTGTTTTTCTAAACAGCTCTTTCACAGTCTGTTTTTTTTCTTTTTTAAATTGTTAATTTGTTGGAACATTTGCAACAACTGTTATTAGCCGTCAGTGTGCAGATGAACATTTTCCTTATTCCCCTTTTTCCACTCTTTTATATTCCCTTGTTATCCTTCTTTTTACCACCCCCATAAACTCTTCAGTTGTTCAGTTTAAACACAAGTAAAATCTATTCTAGTATCTATATTACCAGGCTCCTTCACCCTGTAATTAATCACTAAGACCTATTAAAGAGACTTTTTGGGTAAACATGCATGTGTCTTTTTGTCTTGGCTCGTAGTTTGCTTTACACCTATTTGCATAATGTAGAGAAAACAATATTTTATTTTTGTTATATTTAAACAGTTTATTTTTAAATTAAGAGTAACTGATCTGTAGGCACAGTTCATTATAGTAAGTCTTAATGTTGTCATCACAGCTTTGCTATGTTCTTTGGCTATGTTCACACTGCAGGCAAAGGCGACACAAATCCAAGTTTTTTGCCCCATGTGATCCATATTTTTTCAGGCCTTTTCAGTGTGTGGTACTGAATCAGATCTAATGGTTTCTAAAGCAACTGCAGTATGAACGCTCATGTCACGTTTTGTCTGACTTTTACATCTGTGAGGTGTGAGTTAATTGATCCAATAATAATGATAATAACCTTGAGTCATGCTGTTCAAATTTTGTAGCTCCACACGTCTTCACCTACATAACAAAAGTCCATTTGCTTCATCTTTGTTCTTTTAATTTTCCATGTCCTGGATCACCAATAATGTAACATTGTCGGATCATATTGACACTTAAGTTACTCGAACTATGCTTTACTTTCAGCACGTCGCTTTGTTCCAAAAATAAAATGCTGCATCTGGTCAGAGGTTCAGATTTAAAACACTGAATTAAACAAGCATGTCAGATACTTACGTATTTGATTCTGATTGCACAACAACTTCAGAATCGACACGCTAATAAGTCACATCCATCAATAAGAAAAATAAGTAGTTATTTATTTATTTATTTTCTTCCTTTTGATTTTTTTTCTACCTGGATTACTGAGATGCATCAGGACAAGTCACATCCATGTTTGGCTAATTCTTTAAACAGCAGAGTTGAATGTGACGTCATGTCGTCTTCTGCACATGAGGGTTGCATCGGGGCTGTGGAGAGTTCACAATGGAGTCTGATGGAAGTCGCATTTAAAATATAATGTGAACGTTCACWCCTAAAAATCTGATAATTAAAAAAATCGCGAGTTCTGGACATGTTTAAATTTGTAACACGTAAATAGGTGTTAAAATTTAGAGTAAAGAAGTAAAAGTATCACTTAAAAAAAGTTAGGATTAAAAATAAATACTTGATAAAATTACAAATCCTCAAAAAAATACTTTACTCTAAAGAATTAAATGTACTTAGTTATTCCTCTGCAGTTCTGACAGGAGTGTCCAGTCCTGGTCCTCGAGGGRAACTATCCTGGATGTTTTAGTGGTTTCTCTGCTTCAACACACCTGGTTTGAATGAATGTGTGAATAACAGGCTTCTATAGATCTTGAAGAAATAGTGAAGAGCACTAACACTTGGTTTGAACACTTAAAGCAAGCAGGATWGTGGCCCTTAAGGACCACAGTTGCACACCATTGAGTTATAAAGAAAACACACCGGGGGGTTGAAGTGTGAATGTGTTAGCCTGGTATTAAATGCAAATACTGTGTGTTTTGTTAACCAATTCCTTCAATGACCCACTATTCTCACTAAGTGTATTTTTCATAAACTTTAATAAGTTGCAAATAAGATTTAGTTTGTATTTTTGCACACCGTAAGAACCATCCAGCTCGCTGGCCCTTCATAGTCAGGACTTTGGAGACAAGGGAAGTTGTCCTCAGGTCTCCTGCAGTTAAAGGGTACATTTCATGCAAAATCCACTTTTTAAATKCCTAAATACATTTTGTTSTGTACTTGGAGTCTCSWAGAGTGCAGAAAAATTCAGTTTAGTCTATTCCTATGTTGCGTAGATATCTTTATATTCTACAATGAACCACTCTGCAAGCTGGAGGAGGGCGGGGTGTGAAGGGCCTCCTTTGGATTTAAAGAGACAGCCTCAAAACGAGTTGATCTGAGACACTTTAGAAAAGGGGTGAAAGAGGGTTTGTGGAGTTAAAATACGGTCAAGATTAAAGTGTTGCAGTTCCACRTTTTATAAAACCCCAACTGAATGATTTAAATGTGTAAATAGATTTAAAAGCTTCCCTTCGTAGTTAATAACAAAAGCAAAAAAAAAAGCATAATATTGTGTTACTGTGACCAGGCGATTTGTAGTGCTTCCAATTGAACAGAAAATAGATTATTTATTCTCTGATCAAAACCTCCTCCTCTGATCCTGTCAAATGGAGGTCAGTCATCTGCTGAAACCTCCTGGAGGAATACTCAGCGTTTGGGTCTCACGTCAGCCTGCGACTAACAAAAACACAGCAAAACCCGACCAGCTGCCACCCACACATTAAAAAATTTATTACGACAAACTTTTTAACTTTTGACAAGACACGCTTTGGGTTTGTTGACCAAGTTCTGTCACGGAGGGAAAAAAAAAGAAAGTTGCACCACCTGAAGTAAACTCAGATGGAAGCTGCTTCAACTCAAGGTGACCTGTTGCCATGGCAATTACTCTCTCTGTGCTGTTGTCATGARGAGATAAGACTCCATTGAGGAGGCTGGATGAGTAATGTTACAGAGTCCAAACATTGATCACTTTGATTTTTTCCATTACTCTCTGCTTTGTTACRGGAGCATTGCCTTGGACTGGACCATAATATTGATTCAATCTTCCGCTCTACCACTGATCCTGTATTTTTAGGGCTCAAGATAATTGGACTTCTTTTTTTGTGTCCCAGAAGAGCAGAAACAGGGGCTCAGAAGGCTTTGGTGATTGAATAATTAAGATCTGATTGTTGGCGTTGCTAAAGCTGGAATTCCACTTGAAGAAATGCATTTGATCTTTTTTTTTTTAAAGTACAATCGTCTTATTTTTTAAACGAAAACACAAGAAAGCATTTCTTAAGAAAACTGAGCTTCCATTTAACCTTTGAAGTACTTTCTTTACAAGATTAATGAGCAGTTTCATAAATCATCTTCAATATTACATCATAACTGGAGTTAATTGTGTAATGTGTTAAATAACCAGAACCAAAAGTAGRTTTGCTCCTTTCTAGTCAAGTTTATAAGTTTTGCGTTGACGTAAAGTAGTTTACAGTGAATCCCCGTTTTTTGTGGAGGTTACACACATGTCAACCACTTTGTGCGTTTACTTATCATGACCCTCAGAAATATGTCATTTTTAGAAAAAAATTTATATTACTCACATGGGGGAGAACACATGGAAGAAGTTTTAGTTTTTGTAATATTGATCACATATTTGTTGATTGATTACTGCTGTGGGTATAAAAACAAACACACAAAAAAATTCTGTWATGTTTGGCCATGTTTTGAAAGAGCCCCTGCTGAGGGACCAAAGAGTCKCATGTGGCCCCAGAGCCACAGGTTGCAGACCCCTGCCCTATCTATTAGTCTGATGGCCACATATTTGGGTTGAGAATATTTGGTATAGGAGATAATGGTACTTATTGACTCAATGACTTTTATCAACAAAACAAGCCAATGCCATCATTCTTCCACCACCGTACTTCACAATCTATGAGGTGTTTATGCCGATGTGCAGTGTTTGGTACTTTATGACCAAATGATTACATTTTGCTCATTTATTTTCTAAAGTCATGTAGTTTGTTCAGATGAAACTTGACAAACATACAGCGGGTAAAATAAGTATTGAACACGCCAACATTTTTCTCAGTAAATATATTACTAGAGGTGCTAATGACA